CTTCTGGGTTTCCTCTTCCACTTCGTAGAGTTCGTCATTCGATTTAGGGTTTACCTTATTTGGAAAACAGGGGAGATAGAGAGAGAGATATGCGACCATATATTGTTCACCTTCTTTGAAAAACTGTGATTACCTTCGAAAGCCAGGGGAGATGAGTTCGCTACTCCACCTTTGCTCCCTCGATTTACTGCCTTCCCTTTTATGTTACATTTTGGAAAAAGTTTTTGTAAGGATGCAACCTTATATTGTAGAACTACGACCTCTACCTTGTGTTCTCTTCTCGAGATACACTCTACCTACCCTTGTATGTTTACATTTTGGAAAAAGTTTTCGTAAGGATGCAACTAGAGCGATGGATGCACCTCAAAAATCATCGGAAAAAGGTAGTTTTAATTCTGAAAAACCCTTGATCATCTCGACATCATCGAGATGTATGACTATAATAAATAAAAAGTTTTTAGATCTCAGAAATAATACATTTTATAACATATTATTTTCATCGTTTATTTTCAAGATTTCCATATGTTTATAGATCTACTTGATTTTATTGTAAAAATATATATGGTCTATTGTTTGCTATGTATTTAAGTAGGTAAGATATTTTTTTAAGTATTTAATGTAAAAATTTATATGTATTTTTTTGGTATGTACTAAGTAGGTGTGATGTATGTTAAAACATTGAATGAAGAAATTCATAAGGTGTATTTACCATGAACTTATTATTTTATGTTTTATAAAGAGCATGGATCCCTATGTAGACTTATCTATTCTATATTTTTTGTTTATTAAAATACAAGAAAGAAGATATCATGGTTAGGTCAAAAGATCCATTTTGGGAGTATTGTGAAGAAAGAGGGCATAAATTGTATTGCAATTTCTATTTTCAAAATTTCAAAATTTCTAACATTTTAATTTATCCGATTTTTGGACTCCGATTTTTAGAGCCTAGTCCGATATATTGGCGATACCTTTGCATGAAGTATTTTTGTCGATCCGTATTTTATAACCAAATTTTTCATCCAACTTTTTAAAATAAAAACGATTTACTCTCGATTTTAAGCTAAGCCGATTTATTGAAAGTCCCCGACTTGCTAACTATGGTCTAGAGAGAAAGAAAGAAGACGCCTTTTGAGAGGTATGTCAAACCCACATTTTTTTAGAAGAAAGAATTATTTTCCACTCTCTTGACCCATTCATAAGGGAATTTTCAATGAGATAATTCTATTTAGAAATGTATATCACTGTTAGTTTAGATAATATTTCTCTTACCAATTTTATCCCCAAATTGAAATCTATATGTAATAGGATTATGTGTCATTTTTATCTACTATTAAGAAACTCAATAATTGCGTAGATTTCCCCTCTTTATATTAACCATTAAGGATATAAAAAATAGGAAAAATGTCATCGTATACCTTATTTTTTGTTTTCATATATCAATAGACCCAAAGATTTAAAATATATCTCGTAACTCTCTGACTAATTTTACTCACTTTTAACTATTTTTTTAGCCCTAACAAATATAAAAAAGATATGTTCTTTCTAAACCCTTCCTCTCTTTATGTGATATATTCCCTGCAAATATTCCTATCTAATATTCACTCTCTTTGTTTCTCTAACGGGGGAGAGAGTAAGTGAGAGACACAGGGGAGAGAGAGTGGAAAAATAGGTAGAGAGAGAATTTAAGGGAAAATCACGTGAAGAGAGAGAAATGATGGTGTTTAGAAATAATGTCTTTTTTATATTTGTTTGGGACAAAATCATAGGTTTCAAGGGGATAAAGTTAGCTTATGAGGTTAAAAGATATAAAACTTAGAATTTTTAAGACCTAATATATGTTTTAAAAAATTGTCTCTATTGAGATATAAAACTTAAAAATGAATATTATGGAGATATTTTCCCTAAAAAATACTATAGAGATCCTTACACCCACAAAGACTCGACTCCAAATCTAAGATAACGAAAAAAGCACCCAACCCTTAAATGTAGAAACTGGCCTCAAATCATTAGGCGGGCAATTGTGGTTCAGTCGGTCCAACTTAAGTAATTCTTGAGGGGAGATTGTTGTATTAATAAAAAAAAAAAAAAAAAAAAAAAAAAGAAAAAGAAAAAAGGGTCTCCTTTATATGAGGTTGAAACTTTAAACAATCAAAATAAAGTGCACCTTCATCTTTTCTTATAAAATAAAATTTTGGCCTAAAAAATTATTCGGATGGTTTGAGAATCTATTAATTATAAAATTTTAAACCAAAAAAAGGTACAAATCAACTAGATCCATAAATACAACATCTTGGAAATAGATTATTGAGATGATGTATTGCAATATGCACTATTTTATGATTTGATTTTTTTTTTTTATTTCCATTCATCTCAAGGTTATTAATTAAAGGTCTTTCCAACATCAAATCAGCCTTTCCTAATAGAATTTGAGGTGCACCTTAATTATGGAGTTGAATGTTGCAATCTCATATAAACTTTGTCCTTAAGGGCCTGTTTGGGTATATTGAATATTGTTGAAATCTACCATTTGGATTGGTTAATGACTAGAATACTTAAAATCAAGAAAATCAAAATCATGGAAATAAGATCTACTTTTTTATGATTTCATTTCCACACTAAAACCTGTTTTTTTGCATTTCCAAGGCTCATGGATTTTACTCATAGGCTCCCTCGACCCGAAACATAGAGAGCATTTGGTAGATATGAAAATTTTAGAAAGAGAAAGTACCTAATCTTTTTAAAGAGAGAAACTATCTCAAAATTTTTCAAAGAGAAAAACTATCTAAAATTTTAACTTTTTGTGAGAGAAAATACATTAATTTAGAGAGAGAAAGTATGTTAAAATTTTAGAGAGAGAAAGTTCCAAATTTTTTAGAGAGATGAACTATCTCAAAATTTTAGATAGAGAAACTATATCAAATTTTAACTTTTAGAGAGAGAAAGTATGTTACAATTTTAGAGAGAGAAACTGCTAAATTTTTTTGGAGAGATAAACTATTTCAAAATTTTAGAGAGAGAAACTATCTCGAATTTTAAATTTTAGAGAGAAACTATTTTAGAGAGAGAAAGTCACATGCAAATTTTTAGAGAGAGAAACTATTTCAAAAATTTTAAAGGGAGAAGAAATATCATATTTTAATTTTTAGAGAGATAAACTATATCAAATTTTAGAGAGAGTACCTAAAAAGTTTTAGAGATAGAAACTATCTCAAATTTTGTTAGAGAGAGAAACTATATCAAGTCTTAAGTTTTAGAGAGATAAATTATTCTTAAAATTGTAAAGAGAGAAATTATTTTTAAAAGTTTAGAGAGAAACATTTCTAAATTTTAGAAAGATAAACTACCAAAAAAATTAGAGAGAGAAACTATACGTATTTTGAGTTTTAGAGAGAAACTATCTTGAATTTGAATTTTAGAGAGAGAAAATATATTAAAATTATATATATAGATATTATATCAAATTTTAGAGAGAAAAAGTACCTAAAAAAATTTAGAGATAGAAACTATCTCAAAATTTTTGGAGAGAGAAACTATTGTAAAATTTATGTTTTAGAGAGAGAAAGTATCTTAAAATTTTAGAGAGAAACTATTTACATGAAACATTTAGAGAGAGAAAATACTTTAAAAAAATTTAGAGAGAGAATCTATATCAAATTTTAAGTTTTAGAGAGATAAAGTATCTCAAATTTTAAACTTTAGAGAGAGAAAGTATCTCAAATTTTAAACTTTAGAGAGAGAAAGTATATTAAATTTTAGAGAGACTATACTATTTCAAAATTTTAGAGAGAGAAACTATCTCAAACTTGAAGTTTCAGACAGCTAAAGCATTTTAAAATTTAAGAGAATAACTACATCAAATTTTAGAGAGAGAGTTCATAAAAATTTTTAAAGAAAGAAACTATCACAAAAATTTTAGAAAGAAATTATGTCAAATTTTAGTTTTTAGAAAGAGAAAGTATCTTAAAATTTGAGAGAAAGACTATATCATAGTTTAGAGAGAAAAACTACTTAAAATTGTTTAGAGAGAGAAACTATATCAAAATTAATGAAGAGGGAAACCATCTCAAACTTTAGGTTTTACGGAGAGTACATTAAAAATTTTGAAAGAGAAACTATATTAAAATTTAAAGAGAGTAAAGCACTTAAAATTTTTTTAAAGAGAAATTATCTCAAATTTTTTAGATAGACAACTTCAAATTTAAAATTTTGGATAGAAAGTATATTAAATTTTAGAAAGAGAAACCATATCAAATTTTAAATAGAGAAATTAAGTCAAAAATTTTATAGATATACCATCTCAAATTTTAAGTTTTAGAGAGAAAAAGTACATAAAAATTTTAGAGAAAAAAGTTTTATCAAGTTTGTTATCAAACAATGGACATGAAAGTGATTGGAATGAATCCATGAATTTTATATAGTTTATTGAAACAAGAGATTTGAAGAATCCATAATAAAAACCCTTGATATGGAAGTGATTGCAAAGAATCTATGAATTTTATATAGTTTATCCAAACAAGAGATTTGATGAATCCATAATAAAAATCATAGATATTGAAAATTTATAGATTCAATCCTAGATATTTAAAATTTATAGATTTTTTAAAATTTGAAATATTTAAGATTTTTAATTTCTTTCTATCCAAAGAGGCCAAAGAAAAAAAAAATAAAAATAAAAAACAAAAAAAACAAAAAAAAAGAAGAAAAAAAAAAGAAAAGGAAAAAGCCAAAGTGATTCGAGATTTCCCACGAACCAGAACACCTCCCACCAATTCCAGTTCGAACAAAGCAATCATTGCGTCTTGTTATTTACTAACAAGATCAGGGGTATTTTCCGGTATAAAGGCACAAACCAGCTAAGTCTTGGTCAAAGTGGTAAAAGTTAAAGGCGTTAGGAAAAGAGGGGCGTCTTCTTTCTCCGAGTCTGACACTCCCGTCTTTTTTAAATAAAGATTTAATTTAATACAAAAAATAAATGCTTCTCGATATGTGAAGTGCGTTCCGAGTCGGACACAATAAAAGCGAGTTCTTGCTCGTTTCTTCCACACTGCCTTCTTGTTTTTTTTAAGAATAAGGAAGCGTCTGCACTGTTCTCTTTCTTTTAACTACAAAACAACAAAGAAAAAAGCGTCAGTTTTTTTAGCACTAAAATGGTGGAATTGTTGCGTGCTCATCTGTCCAAAAAATGCTGAGTATCATTGAGTTTCTTTGAGTCTGCGCCGTGTAGAATTTGGTTGTGTTTTCAGAGATTTGTTGAAGCTTAATGCAGTAATTTGATGCGATTTCAGCTCCCGCAAGTCTGTGTAGCTCTGGTGTTCTTGTTGAAGGTTTTGTGTTATGGAGTACACGGCTGAAACTTTCAAAGGTCGTTCTTCTGACATGTGTTTGATAATCAGCTCTAGAGTGTAATTAGGGTTTTGGTAATATCATTTGCAGAGGAGCGGTTCTGTGTTGTAGGAGCTCTTTCGTCTCAGTCTTGTTTTCTGTGTTGGAAAGGGCGCATATAAAATGGCGGATTCCTTCTCAAAAGAATGAGATTAAACAGATTGATGAAGTTGTGTTTCTAAGGCATTTTTTTTTTTTTGGTGAATGATGTGAAAAAGTGGTGGATTCTTTGATTTGAGGAAGAGATGGCGGAAGGAACCAAGGTGAGACTGGTTCGGTGTCCAAAATGCGAAAAGCTTCTTCCTGAGATTGCTGAGTATCCTGTTTATCGATGCGGCGGTTGTGGAGCTATCCTTCAAGGTAATTTTTGTTATTCTTTCCAAATTCTTGGTTCCCTTTCCTATGCGTTAATCTCTGGTTGTTTCATTTACCTTAATGCTAATGAGTTTTAGGTGAAGAAAACTCTGTCTTTCTATGGATTCTCTCTGTAATTCTAATTTTAAATATGAGGTTAAGAGGGGCGGCCTCTGGTTTTATAAGGTTTGTCTGTGTCAGTGAGTAAAGAGAAAATGATGCATGTGTTTTTGTCCGTTCCTTTTGTCTGTCTTCTGCGATCGTGATGTAATTAGAGATCCGGTTTTACTCGTATTCAGAGTTAAATAAAATTGTATTTTCCTGTTTAGGAACTCTGAACTTTTTGTTCTTTTGATTGCTTGTCTATCAGCTTAATCAGAGGACTTTAGGTTAATATAATTACAGAAAATGTGTGCTCTATTCGTTCCTTATATTCAAAAGCTTTTGTTTGTTTGTAATTTATTTGTCAGTGTGTGCGCATGTGTGTAAGCTCTTCATGAATTCGAATCAATGAATTGTAATTTTTTTTTCATGTAAATGGATAATAAATTCTGAAATTCTGGTTGTGTTCTTCTATCTCTATATTTTCATTTACGTTTTTTTTCTTTTTTGGAACCTAAATGTTTTTTTTTTTTTTTTTCCGGGGTTGTGAGACAAGGTCAGGGGAGAGGACCCCTACCTTTTGGTAGGAATCGAGCATGGCGTTGCTAAACGTCGAAGGGCTAACCAATTAAGCCCGAACTCTTTTCCTTATTTTCATTTTTTGTTCCTATTAAAATATTTTCTGGTTGGGTAATTCTGTCTCTTCAGGTTTTACCTCTCACTTTCCTGCTTCTTTGAATTTTAAAATTTATTTCTTCGTTTTATGACCTTTAGTTAAAAGCAAAGTTCTGGTTTATATAATATCTTTATCAGGTCCTTTGCTTTAGCAATTCTCTTTCCTTTTCTTTGTTTTCTTTCTCCTTTTTTTTTTCTCCTTACTGAAATTACTTATTTGAACAGGTTTTCATATATATGCATATGCAACCTATTATTACTGGCCGTTTCAGGTGCTCTGCTTTTTTCAATGTTCAAAATTGCTAGTACACTGGTCAGCAAAGCACCAAAATACCACTTTACTTTTTGCCTCTGTCATTTTTGTTTCTTTAGATTTGTCTGTTTCCTTTTATCCTTTCTCAGGTGTCCAAACATAAAGAATTAGAAGCATCTTACTCTCATTTACCTTTTATATTTACCCTTTTTCTCTTTTGAAGGTTCCCAGGTTCCTCAACAGACTAATTCTTGTTTTGTAACAGCCAAGAACCAAGTCTACGTGACTGGAAATCATTCATCAGAAGAAGTCCGAGAAATTCCCGTTGGATGCGGTGAGAATCAAAAGGATTTTGAAGAGAATGGAGCAGTTCCTTTGGGTAGGAGCAATTCATTTGCCTCTGATAGGGGGGATAAGAAGAATAGCTTAAACATGGGCTTCCCTAATGAAAGATTTAATGGACATTCAAGTGATGAGTTTCGTGAAGAAGGGAGAGATGTCTCAGATGATTTTGATGGTAGAGCAAAATCTAACGGAAAAGTTATCAATAGAAGTAATGGTGCAGTAACTGTTAGAAATCAGATTAATCAACAGGTGAACACTGGAGAGAAAATGCTGGGATCTGAAAAAGAGAAATCTGATAAATCAGGTCCCAGTAGTTATGTTCGATGTGAAACTCCTTTTGGAAATGGACCTAGCTCTATTGCTTGTTCCGAAAATCCTGCTCCTAATGCATCTAACCAAGTGCTTTCCCCAAATACGCTTTTGGAACACATCCCTAGACAAGGGTACAATAATTCTGGGCCAATGAAGGTTCAGGTTCAAGAGTCTCATGGTCCGGATGATTGTGAAATGGCATCTGGGTTTTATGATTATGGTGCTGACATGGAACACAGAAATGCGGTTTGCTCGAAAGCAACAATGGGGAATTGGGAAACAGAGGGTCTGAATTCGAATATTAACAATTTAAACATACGTGGTACTGAGAATGGCTGCTACCCTAATAAAGGGGGAGATAAATCTCATGTGTCTCAGGATTTTCAACATACTCGAAACTGGAGAGCTCATGAGAGGGTTGAAAAGTTAGGATATCAAAGAAATGATGATGGGTTTTCCAGGTATCCAAGAAATATGCATGAAAATGTGCATCAACATTGGTTGTATCCAGATGAGGGCCCATCATATTCTCGAGGCAATGCTTCAGGTTATGCTGACCCGATCCTACATGGCCTCAATAGTGTTGAATGCCTAGAAAGAGACCGGCTGCAACTTCTACGGAAACTAGATGAATTAAGGGATCAACTTAGTGGATCTTGTGATGTACCAGATAGACCTAGGGATCCTCAGGATCCTTACGACTATGATGGTCCTGGTGCCTGGTTTCGAGAAGAGCCACCTCCTTCGAGATCAAATTGGGCCACTCGAAATCATCTTCGGCAAAATATTCGGACTCATAGTCCATCGCACAATAAGAGAGAATCTGAATTGAACATGAGCCATCCTGTGCCTTTAATGGATAAGCATGACATGGAGCTGCCACATCAATATCCAAGAAAGTATTCCCAAAATGAGATTCCTAGATATAGGGAACCATTTGACACTCACATGCCAGGAAGAACCATTCCTCAATCCATAAAGTTCTCACAAAGGCCATTTCCACGACAGGGTTTTAGCAATGGTAGACGTCACCAGGATGAGTTTTTATCTGGAGAAATGGATCTTGAGCCTCTCGTTTCTTATCCATATCCATCTCTTCACAACAACTCTATGTGTTCATGTTATCATTGTTATAACAGAAACAACCAGAGGGCACACATTCCATCTTCTGTTGCACACCAGCATAGAATAAGTGGTGCTCCAAATGGTCACATTTACAACTACCACTTTGGCCCTTCTACTCACATGGCTCCACACAATTATGTTGGCACTAGAGTTCCATTTCATTTATATAATTTGCAGCGTCGAGAGAGAAGACCTACTGATCTTGAACCAGAGCTGTTTCGTGGGGGACAGAAGTGGAATGCACGAAGAGTTATCTTGAGGAAGGATGGGGTGGCACGGAAATGTCGTCCAATAGCCAGTGGTGCACCCTTTATAACTTGTTCTTATTGCTATCAGTTACTACAGTTACCGAGAAAAGCTTTTCCCTTGACAAAGGATCCTCGGAAGCTGCGATGTGGTGCTTGCTCATCTGTGCTTTCATTCTCAGTTCAGAATAACAATCATATGGTTTTCTTGTCGAGTGCCCAAGATAATACTGGTGGGTCAAGCAAAGAAGGGTTATCTTTCCTTGATCCAGTGAATTTATCAGAAGCTCGAAACTTAACTTCAAACATTTCACATGAAGTAGACTATGATATATCCACATATAACATCCAGTCTGGAGATACTGATCCTGTTTCTTCTTCGTTTCCTATTGATATTCATTGTGTGATGGGAAAGGAAGATGTTGCGGGTCACCTTCCCAAGCAGATAGATAGACTAAAGGACAGACTAAACTGCACCAGTGAACAATCTAACAAGAAGCAAGATCTTCCTTCTTTTTCTGGTTCTTCTCAAGATGGGGAACGGTCTTCCTTGAAAGAAACGATCCTGGGTTCACCCCTGCACAAGCATTTAGAACATTCTTCTCCAGGAGAAACAGTAACCACATTTAACAAAAGAAATGGTAGTAAACGAGCCAACATGAAAACAGTGGTCCCTTCTTCAAATGGTACATCAAGACAGAATTCCATGAAAGAAGAATTATCTGCTGCCATGACGGACTCTCCCCCTCATAATGATTTAGGGTGTGAAACTTCACCAGAATCAGTGGAGGAGATGTGCAAGGAATATGATTTATCAAGCAAGACAACCAAGGGTAGTGACTCATTCCTTGCAGGACTCATAAAGAGGAGCTTCCGAGATTTAACTAGGTCGGAGAACAGTAAACCAAATGTTATGGTTAATGGAAAGCCTATACCTAATCGATTAGTAAGGAAAGCTGAGAAGCAAGCTGGACCCATCCATCCTGGAGATTATTGGTAAGCTGAAGATACGTGGTTTGTAAATGTCACATAAATTCTTTGTAGCCATCATGCAAGTTCAATGAAGTTTTGTAAATTTGTTTCCTTATTTCTGTATAATCCAAATTATGTCCCAAGAAGTGTTTATCTAATTATAGAACCTACACCTGATAGATGATCATGAATTTAAAAAAATCTATGCTTTCTTAATTTGAATCTATAGTTGATCTCTCATGTAATGATTTGTTTATTACTTATATTTCTTATTGCGGCAATTAAATTTCACAAGAGAATTTTGGACTTGTTCTTGATGGAAATGCCAGGTGCTCCCACCTTGTGTAATTCATATCTTTCTGTCAGTTACCTTTCCTAATCTTTATGATTGTGAACTTAAGTGGGTCACTTTAAATGGGGGCTTTGTTGATGCGGCCTTCTAAACTCTTTTAGGGTTTTCATTTTGTTGTACTCCTCTCTAATCGTAGTTAGAGAGGAAAGACCCAATATAGACCTTGTGGATGCCTGGAGTCCCTTTTCTTGTACACCCTCTTTTCTTTATTTATGTGCATATCGTGATCTTTTAATGCTGTGTGCTTGTTTGAATATGTGCTCTTGTATTTATGCCAGTTGATGCTTTTGTAAGGTTGCACTTCTGCAACTTTTTATTCTTATGTTTTATTTTGCTTGCTACATAAACTCTATTGAAACATAAATTCTGCTAATGAATTTATTTATATGCAATTTGTAGATCATACAAGGGAATTTTGGGATCCAAGTGAATCAAGTCTATTCGGGGTACATGCTTTGGCAAATTATTGTAGTTAAGAATTTAAAAATAAACTGGACAAACTCAAATTGTGAACTCGATCTCATTGTCATTATGTTGAATTCCATGACCACAAACACAATTTGGCTCATATAGCTGAGTTAGCCTTTCAGAAAATTGCGTCAACTCTGGTAACTTGACACAACTGGAAAACGATTCACTGAAAACATTCTGTGAACACACACTAATGAAAGCTAAAATTTGAGTTAAGATCAAGAAGTATCCTAAATTATACTCAAATGGAAGGTCCAAATGGGACTGTTGCTGAACTTTACCATTGGAGAAATAGCAAACCTTTAAACTAAAACAGATCTTGTGATTGAACTTCTGTCCAGGCAAGAATATGCAACTCTTGGGGTGGGAAATATTTAGCAATCAAGAATGAGTCATGAAAGCTTTTGGGGTAGCAGTTTTGCAAAAAAACTCACAGAGGCTTTCAATGGGGTTGCCAGGCTAAATGTGATCCATTTACAGTCACAAATTGTTGAGAGTTGTGCATCATATAAGCTGCTTAAAATTCACAGGATTGAATATTTTATAAGTTTCTTTATCATCTTTTATATATTCATATCTCTCTTTTTCAGTTACTCTTATGTAATCACTATCCGTTTCTGATGTTATTTCACTTTATTTCTTTTCTACCCTTTCAACCAGGTATGACTACCGAGCGGGGTTCTGGGGTGTCATGGGCTGGCCTTGCCTTGGAATAATTCCTGTAAGATGGGAGCCAAGTTGTCCTAGATGTGCTCTTCTATTAGAAGTTATTAGTAATGGTATTCACTATATTTGCTAATCTATCCTGCAGCCATGTATTGAAGAGTTCAATTTTCCAATGTCAAAGTCATGTTCTGGTGGAAATACTGGCATCTTCGTAAATGGAAGAGAACTTCATCAGAAGGATTTGGAATTACTTTCTGGAAGAGGTCTCCCAACTACACTTGGTAAAGCATACATTATAGAAATAAGCGGAAGTGTCATTGATGAAGCCTCTAGAGAAGAGCTTGATGGCCTCGGCAAATTGGCACCAACGTAAGCAGTTAACACTTTTTCAGCACTGCTTGAAAAATTTGCTTTTTGTGTTGAGCAGAATATGCTGATAATAAGATTGCCCCCCCCCCCTCCCCCCCAAAAAAAAAAGTTCTGGTAATGCTGCATAGCTATTCCATGAAATAGTTTGCTATTCTCATCCTATATGTTCTTAATAGTATGAGGAAAACCATCCGTCTCTCATTCCCAAAAACTTTCAAACTTCCACATGATATGAGGCTGACTATGCACCTGATGCCATGTGACCAGACTGCTATCACGATGATGCATGTTGCGTTAGATCATTAACTACTCCAACACGAAGATTTTGAAGATTCCATCATACTCTTGGACTTGAGTCTAATTGAATTCGAGTTGCTTGCTGTGCAAACTTGGGGTTCCTAAACTTAAATACATACTCTTACTGCGGTGTTCTCTTGTTTTGGGAACTGAATTGCATGGGGGGATAAAATATAATTTGTATAGATTGTTACGTATTTATTCTGTGAAGTTTGTTCAAATAATGAGAAATGTTGTTTTTTTTTTGTGAAATTTAGGAAAAGAATATTTTATTTATGTTAGTGATGGAATCTAAAATCAGATCAATGGATTACTCATTATTTCAGGTCATTCCATGTGAATTCTCTTTGAAATATTGTTTTTTTTTTTCTAGAGTTGAGAAAGTAAAACATGGATTCGGTATGAGGGTTCCAAAGGCTCTCAAGGAATGATCTTTTTGTCCAACAAAAGAACATTTTAGACGTTATTGTCTTCAACCTCTGAGCTGTGTTGTTGGCCTAGGCATTGATGATGTAAGTATGCTGGAAATTTGCCATTTTCCTTTTTACTTCAATTTTGCAATTTAAGCCATCATGTAATTTTTTTTTCTTTTCTTTTCTTTTTTCTTTTTTCTTTTTTTTTTCCTTTGTTGTGTCATGATTCCTTTTTGAGGAAAGGAAATTATATGCTTTAGGAGTGATATCTATAGGACACACACAGACGCACTCACACACATATATATAATTATCCAAAGGAAAAAGTTTATATAAGGTTGCGACCTTAAAATGTAGAATTCCAGATGCACTTCAAAAATCTATCGGAAAAGCTACTTTTAATGTTGAAAAAAACCTCTAATTGATCATCTTGACATCGAGATGTATAAATATATATATAAAAAAAGATTTTGAGTCCCAAAGATAGTGCATCTTGCAACACATTATCTAGACCGTCCATCTTCAAGATTGTCATATGTATATAGATCTACTTGATTTTAACTATTTTTAGAGTTTAACATTTTATAATTAGATGTGAAAATAGATTTTTAGATAATCCTAAGAATTTTTTACAACAAAATTACATGTTATGATAAAATTTGGAGGTGCGCCTTAATTGGATTGTTTAAGGTTGCAACTTTATAAAAACCACACCCTTATCTAAATGGAGACTTACTTTTATTGACTATTCCTTTGATTTATATTTAGTTCAAGATTAAAATTCATCCTTAATACCCGTCTTTATTAGTAATCTATCAATTTATTTTCTATTAGTGTGTCTTTCTTTTCTAACAAATTATTCACGTTGGGTATCACAGGTATGGTGGTGATAAATATCTGATACAATGAACTGGATATTAACTGTACCTGCCATTGCTCCTCAAACTGTTACATATGCTGGGGATATGTATCTTTCCATTCAAATCCATTTTTGCTCACTGTTTTTCCGTTATTGGTTTGTTGTTGGTTGGTTGAAAAATCAGGGTGTTGCATAATCTCAATTTAATTTTTCTGGTTTTGAATGTGTTTTTTTTGGTCTCTGATTGGTTAGTATGTATCTAATTGTTTCTAACCATTCTATCCAAAAGCGCATCAAGATACATGTGATTATGAGCTGAAAGTAGTAAATAATAGATAAGTTGGTTATATTTTGATAAATTTCACATTAAAACATAAGTACTGAAAGTGCTTAGTGCTTCCCACTCGGAAGCTTATGGAGCACGTGTTAGTGGACGCATTTCTGTTATGACACATGGGTTAGGTTTAATATGGACTGTTGAAACCAGACTTTGATTTGCATGGATTTTTTTCATGGTCCAAACTTCAACGGACATTCGGTGTTGGCCATTTAGATTTTCGTTTTGTCTGATTGATACTAAAAGTATGAACTATCTGTACAGTTCTTGTCATCTTAAAAAACTCCTTAACTAAGCTGATTAATTCTGGAGAAATATTGTGGGCATTGTGGTTTGAGTGATTCATAAATTGGGGGAAGTGATTACATATTGACTCGGAAATTTATTCAGATTTGGATCAGGAGGAAAACTTAAAGGATCTGTTTTTTCCCCTGATCAGTAAGCAGAGTATGATCAGGATCAATTACATTATTTTACTACCATCGCCCGAGCCAAGAACCCGGTTCCTAAATTTGTGTTTTGAGGAACCAAAGCGTTCTAAACTTATAATGCCATAATCTTATGTTTTACGTTAGGGAACTTGTGTTATCTCTGTATTCGAAGATCTGGAGCAGATGAGCCAGGATTAGACTTGGTTGACCAAACCTCAAATTCGAGCACACAGACTTCGGCGGTTTACTCATACTCATTTTATTTTGCTGAATCTCAAGGGGGCGTGCAATTGCCGGTTTATGACTACCAAGCTATGGATCTGTAAATCAATTAAGAAATACACAGTTAGACTTGGTTTATGGATCTGTAAATCAATTAAGAAATACCTAGTCAAAGATAATTACACAATGGTTTATGGAATTGCCGGCTAAGCCGGTTCTGCAAAAATAGATTTACTCTGTTGAATTTCTTGAAAATTATAGAAAAGTAAAGTTCCTTTCTGGACCTTGTTGGACCAGCCTGTCTGAGCATTGGCATATTTTTCCTCCTCGAGGACCTAGTCTTCTATTTTATTTATTTCTTTTGTCTAATCAAAACCAAAAAATAATATAAATCGATCCAAAATTTCAAACTTGTGATTGAGTAATCAAACCATGAAATAGTTTAAACAAAACCATTACTCCTTACTTTTTCTTTATCTCTTGGAGGTCAAGGGAATCATACTTTCATGTAGAAAATTCTAAAAACACGCACAAAGAAAATGGAGAGCAGGGGGTTGGATCATGTATGGGCACCACATTTTCTTTGTTTTTTTCTTTTCTTTTTGGCCGTTGAATGGGGATGGGCCCCTCTCTGTGGTAGTTATGGAATGTTGGGCACCATTCTATTATCAAGAAGTGTGGGTCAAACTTGGAGAGCATAGCTGCACCGGTTGTATGTCTGCGGCTTGTTTGACTTTTCAGGGGCACACCCCAACTATTAGGCTTAAATCCTTACACCAGAGCACTACATATGCATGAAGATGCTAGTTGCTTCAATTAATGTATAAATTTTTTTTTTTAAATTAAAGAGTAATCCTAGGTTTTCTCATTTTACACATAAATCTCCTTTTCTATCATTCCCCCGCCTCCCCTACCCCAAAGCAACTCCAACCAATGTTAGAAATCCGGCCGGCTAGTAAATATTTGCCAGATCCATGTTTCAATTTGTTAAAAAGAGCAAAGATCGTGGGCCGAAAAGCTGCAACTCAGAGAACATGTATTTGATCTAAAAAAGCATATTTTTTATCAATTTATAGGTATTTTTTTATCAAATTGAGTCGTCGATTGCGATCATCAAGGATTCATCTCTCAAATAAAATCAGTCTGTTTATTTATGATTGAATAAATTTTTTTATATGAATTTTTTTGTTGCATGATGCCATGAAATTGCATAGATATGAAATTTTTGCCATTTTATCAATTAAATCTAAAATACTGAATATTGTTTTATGAGATTTGGTGTGTTTTAAAGATGATCGAAGCTTTTACAATGCATGTGTTGAATTTGATTATTCAAACATTAAGGGGTTGTTTCTCGTTCGAAATGTTGCTCGGTTTTAGGGGTTTTTGAGAAAACGATTTTTCTAAAAAATAATAAAATTTGTTTTTTGATAAAATTTGTTTTTTGATAAAATATTTTTTTTAATAAAATTATGTTTTTTGATGAATATGGGAAGTATTTTTCTATTTTTTTTAATAAAATTATATTTTGATAAAATTATTTTTTTAATAAAACTATGTTTTTCGATGAATATGGGAAGTGTTTTTCTATTTTTCTTAATAAAATTATTTTTTGATAAAATTATTTGTGTTACTGTTCTTATATGGAAATGCAGAAAATAGCACTATCCTATCCTGATTAAATGGCCTCAAAGGATACTACTCCAGTTTTCATTGCTGTAAAATAAATATTCATTTTCCTATTGCTTTCTTAACTAATCATTCTATTTTCGAGCAAAAAAGATTTGAAACCCTCTCAAATTTTAAGCTTTGGGTTTGATGCTTGATAAAAGTGGTTATTGATCCACCTTGGTCATTTATAAAAAAATGTTTTCTTAAGATAAATGTAGATAATAAGATAATAAGATAATATACATTAAATCTATGTTTGTTTTGGGGGAAGGATTTTTGGCCCCTTTTTTTTAAAAACAATTTTGAACAGGTTAGTCCTGTTATCCGCCAGGTTAGTCTGGTTCTGATTTTAACCACTCCAAACCCCATGTATGGTTAATTGTTCCGATTCGATTTTATGAACACTGACTCCCACATATTTCAAGGACCGACCCGGATGCAATAAATTATCCTAGAAAACTTGGTGTGACACTTGAAAAATCTATAGTACTAGTTGTCGGCCGCTTCAAGTACCTAACCACCCTTTACCAACTCTTTTGCCCCGATCTGGTCCGGTACTTTTTAAATATGGACCACATTTTTTCTTCATTCGTGCCTGTCTGGTACTTGGAACTACTAAATTAGCTTTTGCCAAAAAAAAAATTGCAAGCTGGGCTTGTACTTGTAGTACCCGAATGGATTTTTTATTATGCTAATTTATAGATAAATCTTGTATTATTTTTTATTTTTAAAATAGTCTCGTGTGCTTCATATTTAACAATCAAGTCTCATTTTATGGAATATAAAGTCTTTATTAATTTTATCTCTTTTTTCTATTTATCGGATTAAGTTCAAATTTAGAATGTCTAAACTTATCACCATAATATAATATACTTATAAGAATATTTAAAAAATAAAATTACCAAGCAATCCCTAAATAGTATAGATATAGTTTGGTGATTTATTTATTTTAAATTAATTTTTACTAATTTAATAGATGTATAATAGTAAAAAGTATGGACATACCAAATTTAAGCTTAATTTGATGTATAGAAAAAAGAAAAAGATAAAATTAAAATATACTTTATGCTCTAAAAAGATTTTCGTTTCGTCACTGGCACTCGTGCCAGTCTTGTACTTCAAGTACAGCACCAGCTTCGAAAAATAAAAAGAAAAAAAAAGATATAGAGGACTTAGTCTAGTACTTCAAATATTATACCAAGTATTTGGAAGAAAGTCTTCCATGCAGCCCAACACTAAGTAGTGAACCCGTGGTTATTTTGGACAAACATAAAAAAACGAAAAGGGAACCCAACGTAAAATTATGAGAAATTCGACTCTTTAAATTATGAAAAATAAGGATTCATAGTTAATTTCCCTTAAACTAGCATTACAGATATATACTCACCCTTTGTTCAAGTAATGTTGGTGTACTTGAGGAAAAACTATCAGTACACAATTCTATCCATTTCTACGGCGTTGCCCAAACCCAATATTATTTTGGAGCAGTTTTAGGATCACAAGCTTTCACAATATTGATGGTGGATTTCTATGAAAAAAGAAAAGAGATTGTATATTAAGAGACCATTTATTTTTGTACAAAGAGGTCACAATCATTTTTAGCCATTAACTGTCAAATCCAATAGATAAAAATTTGTCATAACATTCAAAAATCCAAAAAATTGATTTTCAGCCATAAATCATGTACTCATGGATGAACAGTCAAAATTTATGATTGGAGTAGGATTCACCATCAAAGTAATAGATGATTCTAGGGCATCCATCATGCTTTAGAGAAGAACCGCTCCATACCAAATCAGTTCTATGTGCTTCATCTATTTTTTGGATTGTCATTTATTCTATCTAAACGAACATGTACTATGATTGAACGATTGCAAAGGAACTTCCTATGAGCAGGTGTGGCTGAGAAAAAGGGAGTGCATCTTATTAAATGGAAAACTTTATGCTTACCTCAACATGAACGGGGACTAGGAGTTCGGGATATATTGGATTTCAATATTGACTTGTGGATTTCTGGGCAGACCACGGTTATAAAAAATTCAATATAGGACTCTTATGGTATGATTATGCATCAGGACCTTGAGGTTGCTATGCCAAACATATCTGTTTGTATTGGAGGGGTTCCTCAGTCTAGGTCTTACCCATGCCTACATCAGGATCTTTGATTTGGAGCGTTTCCTCATTCTTGGTCTTACCCGTGCCAATCCGGATCTTTGACTCAAATATGGCAAGAGGTTGGGAACTTTACCATTCCATTACAGCCACATACATATTTTCTTGTATGGATGCATTCTGCGAGTGGATTGTTTTCGACTAAAGAGGTTTTGGAGCTTATTCGGGACAAGAGTACATCTCAGCCGATTTTCAGAACTTTATGGTCATCAAAATGTCACCCTCGAGCAAAATGGTTTTTTGATTGGCTATTCACGATTGATTACCCACTCTCTCTCCTACAACAGTGTGGGATAGCAATGACTCCTCCTGTTTGCCCTTTTTGTAAAGCAATGATAATAGTCTTTGCCATCTATTGTTCCTCTATGAATTCTCACAAGCTATATGGAGATCTCTTGCATGGTGGTGTGGTAAGCGCTTTATTTCAAGCTTTTCTATTCCTATTATGTTGAGAAGTTGGTTATGTTTCACATTCAAATCCAATATTCCTATTATAGGCGGAGTACAATGGGAGGGTTTT